AATTTCCACTCCCACAAGCAGTGCGGCAGGCGCCAGTAGGCTCCGTGCCTCCCCCAATACTTGAGGCCCTGTTAGTCTTTTTCTCTATGACAATACCAGCAAACAGAAGTTTGTCTTGTTTGAGTTTGACTTTCTCGAATTACTGTGCACTCACACTTTATTCTTGGGGGAACTGCCTGCTCCTTTCGTTGGTTTTCAAACTCCTTTCTTTAATTTCTATCCCTCTCTATTTTCAGTCTCTATATCACAGTTGGGGAGAGGGAGCAGCAAAGGAATCCCAGATGTGAACGGAAATTGTATTAACACTTTTGATCCATTTATGCTTTATTTCATTTCTCCTATATTTTGTAATCATAAGACAAAATGGTGCTATTTCCACTTGGATAGGTAAACAAATTCCAATCTTTTAAATTGTATGCAAAAAAGAAATTAAGATTTTTTCCAGTTAAGAGCGAGATCTCATTGATTTGACAAAGTTAATTAATACAACATCGAAAATATTTTCTTCCTAATACCAGGTTTAGAACAGCATCTGGTGGTTTTAAAACATATCCTTACAAACAAACAAACAAACAAAAGCATGCTTTCAATAGGATCGATGAAACGTAAATGGATTAGTAGTGAGGTCAATGCTGAAGTTTTGACCATTTTAGATGTGTGAGCCATTATTTGCCCCCCTTTTTTATATCCTGAGTGAATTCACAGGTGTCAGTTGACTGAGATCTTGTACAAGGTTCAACAATGACTCTCAGTGTCACCCAAAAGATAGATTTTATGCAGACGCCAACTTAGGTTTCAGATAAACTTTACAAATTAGTAGCATCACAGACTACCTGCTTTTCATTCAAAGGGATTTCAATTTTGTACTGAAGTTTCATGATGCAAAACCATGAACCACCCTGAAATTAGGGCACTCTCTGCTATCCCATAGATGGCAGTTAATACTTGACAGGTGGAGATTTCATACCATTATAAGACTAGTGAGACCTCCTCAGGTCTGCCCTTCATGCACTATATCACCATATCAATGATGAATCTTCAGCATGAAGACTTCATTTCCAGTGACAATGAGGATAAAGAGTCTGTGGATAACTGTAGATTGTAAAAACACTGGTGACATCAATTTCTTTTCCCTCTCATAGGTAGAAGACCAAAATACAGTATCCCAAGTTGTCCCCAGGAGAAATAGGCCTTTTTCACCCCCTGTCTTCCCTAATAACTTTACTGCACCATCCTCACAAACCGCTCAGAACTCAGGGACAAAATATGCAAGAGTGAGTCCCCAGGCGCCACCTGTTCACTGCTGGGAGTCATACTCTAAATATAGACCCCCAGGCTGCTTCTTTCTTAGCATATTGAAATTTGACTCGCCTGCCAGAGGCCTTCCCTGTGCATGGCCTGTGTGGAGGAGGCCCTTGCAGGAGGTGAGGCAGGGAATCCATGCCTTGTTGGCAAATATAAGAACTCCGGAACAAACATATCATCACTCTCTGGTCTTCCTAACAACTCGACTCATTTAAAATATCAGGTCCCATTTCCTCTGGCTCTCTGTTTCATTTGTTTTGCTACCGTGCTTTTTTTTTTTGCTGTCTTTCTATGATTTTCTTAGCTAAGTAAATCCTGTCTCTGAAAATTTAGGAATAAAATGCTCAGATTAAACTGTACTTTTAGTGCTTGCCTACCATGAACTTACACAAGAGACCTCTGTTCATTTGAATATAAACATGAGGAAGAACTAAGAAAAGCAGGTGATCGGTTCTGCAATGTGAACTCATTTTCACATTTTGTCAAGTTTCAGGGACGAAAGCTTCACGCCTACTTCTCTTCATTGCTACAAAAATCTCTCTCTCTTTTGCTATGTCATCCAGTCATTTCAGCATAAAAACACAGAAGAAACCACCAATCTCTCAGTTCATCAGGACCTTCTAGTTTGAATCCACTCCCTATCTAAAACTTCTTAAACCCCAGGAGCATGAACCTTTTCAGTTAGTTTACATCTCTGTCGCTTTAGTTCATAATTCTTACCAACAAGCACAGGGGCTATGATTTAGAACCACTTTGTTCTCCATTATATGCACACACAAATACTTTTTAAAGGACCTTGTAGACATCTGATACACCATCTTAAATGTGAGAAGGGAAAATGCTTAAGTACCCAGGCAAGTCTGTTTAATGTTTTCAGAGCCTGTTAGAACAAACAACAAAAGTTTGTAAAACCACTCCCCAAGGAAACCTTTTGATGGCCACACATATTACATGAAAATAAAAAAGGATCAGCAGTTGGTAACACTATGGTCTATGGAGGGAAACAAAAGAGAAGGTTGGCATTTGAAAAGCTTTGGATACTGTGTTACTTGATGTAGTACTGTAGCTTAGTTAAGGTTGTCTCATTGCAAGCAGATTATCCAAGTCTGGTTAACACAGAGAACAAATGCTAAGGAGCAAGGTCAGGGATCTAGGTAGGAGAAACTGATAGATGATCGTTTCACCTAAGTTTACCTGGTTTCAGGTTGTTATCTCCTTGCTCAAGATTAAAATTTTAACAGGAGAGCTTCTGGTTGGAGTGTTTTGGCCACAGTGTCCATCTTTTTGCTAGGGAAATACAGAGTATGTTAAATGTGAAATACATTCACTCACTTTCTTTAGTATGAAGTGTGAATTGTTTAAAATGATGATTTATTTTGAAATTATTGACTTTACTTTTTATTTATGTGATGTGAGTGTTCCTGTTTGTCTGTATGGCACCACATGCACTGAAGGTAAGAGACAAGGGGTCAGATCCTCCGAAATGAAGTTATAGTCAACTGTGAGCCACCCCAACAATGGGAGTGCTAGGAACCGAACTTGGGTCCTCTGCAAGAGCAATGAGTGTTATTGGACACTTACTCCATATTTCCAGTCCTAGTGTATATCATCCTTTAATTATTTTGCACAGTGAGCCTTTGTTTAGCTGTCACTGAGATTCTAGGAACCTGTCTACCTCCACATGCTTGAGTCATAATTTCTACATTACCTGATCATTAGAAAGATACAATATGAAACGACAATGCATAAGGTTGCCCTTGGAACCAAAGCCACCTGGCTTCCCTGACAGGATTCCATAGGGTTGCATATAGAGTTCAGGGTGTTGTCTTGAGTGTTGCACCATCTACCCCAGCTTTTGTCTGTAAACAGAGAGCAGATGCTTCTGCGAGTGACAGACTCTCATTCAAAGATGCACATGTAAACCAAGATCTGAATGTTACACTCACCAGTCTCTGTCTTCTCCTCCTCTTAAATGGGCTACAATGAAAGTTATACTTCAACTGGACTAACAACTGAGTAGTTTACCTTGAGAAGTACAAGTGCCAGGGGGCAAAAGAGGTTTCTGCCTGTCTTACCTGTCCATGCTCTCTTGCAGTTTGCTTGATGAACCTAGAATCAGAGTGAGGGCATTCATTCATCTTAAGGAGTGACTTTTAGCCTAGGAAGTTTGAGGTATTCTTACACATCATGGAGTTGGTTTTGCCAAGGATGAAATGTCCCCTTTACCTTAGCCAGAACTTCCTCTCTTCTAAACAGTGCTTGATGGGAACTATTAACATTTTCATCTGATGCCCTTTTTGTGTGTGAATAAGTCTCTTTGTTGCACTTGATCTTTCTCTAAATACAGAGCCATACAGTTGATTTGGCTCCATTTACTAAATTCAAAATCGAGTCTCAGTTCTGCTTTCTAGAAGCTACAGTGATAAA